ACGGTGAATTTGGGCCTTTGGGATACCGCTGGTAATTTTTAATGTTTTTATCTGTACTACTAGTATACATGTGCAGTCTATGTTTTGTTCTACTCAGCAGCAAATCGAAGTCGAAAAGTCTGCTTTTATTAGAGGATTCAGGATTCTTGGGGTAACTTAAAGTTCACATGATCACATCCTTCGCAGGGCAGGAAGATTACAACCGGCTGAGGCCTCTAAGCTACCGAGGTGCTGATGTTTTCGTGCTTGCATTCTCACTTGTGAGCCGAGCTAGCTATGAGAATATCATGAAGAAGGTGCTGAAATGTGCTGTCTTGGTTTTTTTTCATGGTTTGGAATTTCCTAGAGGCCTGAATGTTTATCCTTTGCTCTTTACTCTTCAGTGGATACCGGAGCTTCAGCATTATGCACCTGGGGTGCCTGTTGTGTTGGTAGGCACAAAATTGGGTGAGTTCTGTTCACAACAAGAGCATGTTGATTCCACTTACTGTATATAGTTGGGCGGCTTTGGTTTATTATAGAATATTAGTCATCCTATCCTGTTAAGTCATAAGCGTCTATTTTTCTGTGCACTGTTGGAATTACTTTGGTTTTGGCTGCACTAGTAGTGAACCTTGCAATTTTGATATAAAAGTGATGTTATGATTTGTCTAGTTGCCAACCAAATGGACAAGGAGCCGGCCACAATTTTATCTTTCTACCAGTACAACTTAGTAAATGTGGAAAGCTTTAGTATGAACTGTTTGTGTTTATATGTGATTAATTGACACTTTGGTACCACTAAACACGAACTGCTAGCATCGTGCAGGAAAAATCACTTTAGTAAACCGTGAACTAGCTGCTTTTCACAATTTTTGTTCCTGTCAACACTCATCCAATTACTGCTTGGATGACGGACCCTAATATTTTCACCAGACATTTTTTTACTATCATCTTCCATTAAAAAAAACTTACCTTTCTCCGCAAAGATACTCCTTTGTTATAGAGTGTACTTACATATTTGAAAACCATGTTACTTACAGATCTTCGTGAAGACAAGCACTACTTGATGGACCATCCTGGATTGGTGCCTGTTACCACAGCACAGGTATATCTCCAGTATCTGTTATATGACAGTATAATGCATTCTGTCGTAGAGAATTTTGGTGACCTTGCTATTTGCATCTTCTAGGGGGAGGAACTTCGTAGACAAATTGGTGCTATGTATTACATCGAGTGCAGTTCAAAGACACAGCAGGTAAAGTTGTTGCCAGGGAATTGTGTGCTCTTACTCTAGTATTTTCCCTTTTGTTGCATTATGAAATCTTGCCACTCAGTTGCATCCTGGACAATTGGCTTACTTTGGAATATTTCATTAACACGTAGAATGTCAAAGCTGTGTTCGATGCTGCCATCAAGGTAGTAATCCAGCCTCCAACTAAATTAAGAGAAAAGAAGAAAAAGAAATCACGCAAAGGATGTTCAATGGTGTAAGTAAACACGCCTTTCAATACTGTTCCCTTCTCTCTTTTCTGCTTCCAAACAGGCAAACAGTATGCCCTACTGAAATATACAGCACCATTGCATTGTTCTTGTTTTTAACATAGTTTTAAAAAAATATTTCTTCTTATTGCTTCCTGAATCATTGACATTATGATAATATACTTGTTCGTAGCTACTATCTACAATCATAAATTTAGTGTTTAACATGTATTTGTTTAATTAACTGTCCTTTCTTCTTCTTCTTTTGCGAGCAACTGTCCTTTCTTTAAATGTCAATGTTTTTTCTTGAGATGGAATATACTTAAGTTTTCATACAGAGGATCAGTGGATGCTGACTTCATTTCATTGCATATGAGAATGCATGTTCTATTGATTCATTGCGAGTTTGTGACCACATTAGGATGCCAGGACTAGCACTGAAATCGATTTGAGTGCTCTGCTTGGTGTTTTATAGTTTGTTGCCTCTGCCGCCGTCTTTTAATGCTTGATGCTGCTATTAAGAAACACCATGGTTACCTAAGTTTAGTTGCTCTTAAGTACATATGTGAAAGAGCATGCAGGATTCCTTAGCTGATGTGGTCTGTTACTTTTTAACACTATTTCTTGTATGCAACTGCAGGAACCTCTTCTGTGGAAGAAAAATGCTATGCTTCAAGTCCTGAATGATCGAAGGGGGTCTTACATGAACTAATACCATGAGTGTGACCCTAAGTTTGCAAAGGTTGAAATCTCAATGTGCTTGTTGCGCATGTGTATATTTGCACCTTTGGTTATTAATCACTAGGGGTAGATGATTGAAACTAGTCTGCTTAAGCGTTGTGCACTGCTGGTGTGGTTAGCTCTACTGTATGAGTTAGGCAGTTCGACAGAGGCCAAAGAGACGATGAGATTTTGTTCTTTCATGGCAATGTCACAGCTTTTGTGAATCTGGTCTCATCATATTGTCTGTTAGTTTATCCCCATGATTCCATGGTAGAATCAATCCATAGCAACATTGTGTTGAATGAGCCTTTGCTTTTGTGCTGAGCATATAATGTTCCAGTTTTGGTGAAAGCTAGAAGTGAAAATTTCTACTTTCAAGCTGATCGTTGACATGTTTCGTGTTGTATTGTAGTGAGTACGCTTCTCACTTGGTCATGTCTTTTGTGAACACAACTTCGCTAGTCTGGCTAGCCAGCCAAATGGCAACCGCGACTTCTTCCATCCCCTAGGACTCGGCCAGACCGAACAGAGGAAGGTTGGGATTCTTTAATCTTCTGTCCTTCCGGTGTTCCCTTGGGTACTGGCTGCCATTAATCTACTGCACAAGATGAGGGCATTGGTGTGGTCAATCCAGAGTTAAATAGTATCCGTAGTCCCAATCCAGAGTTAAATAGTATCCGTAGTCCCTATCGCACAAGTCCACAACTGCAATCACCCACTCCTGCTGGCCGCAAGCCTGCAACCTGCTACACCATGACGATGCATGGGTCATAGGATAAGAGCCAAGGAGCACCGTGGCGCACGGTGGCGGACTGGGGGTGATGCCGCGGCGAAAGAGAAACAGGATGTGTTTGGCTCTCTCTATTGGGATTGTCCAGGCTTAATATAGCGTCTTTTTTTTTGTCTTTTTTTTTTATAGTTTTGAGCAGTAGCCTTATGTATTTGGTTACCCGTGTTGGGAAATTGATGCTTCGATAGGAGAGCGAAATATTGCCACTGTGGAAACCGATTTCCAGTCGAAGGATGTCATCCGACAAGTACGGGCCTCGATGACCATCCAAGCTTGAATACTGAATAATACTAATATCCGTCAAACATTATTATTCGTGAGTCAGATGGCCGTTGGCCAAATCTTCCAGCAACGGTCAAGAACATCTACACCGCCAACCATTGCATCAAAAATCTATTATAAATACACACATTTTGCCAACTATATACACCAACTAGTACCTACTACAAGCAAAGTAGACCAACCATTGGTATGGAATAATATGGATGACTCATTTTTTTTAGTAATTTCCGCAAACCCACTCAACTCCTTAAATGTAAGTTCACATCCACAAGATACAACCACACATCATTCAATACAAAAAATTTCATCCACACCGTCATCCCATCAACTATAGGCCCTCTAGTGTGTTATCTAAATTGCACTCGTAAAAGTAACACCAATCTATTCTAGGTCAACTTTTGTTCTATACTCCCTCCGTTCCTTAATTGTCGTTCTCACTTCTCGAGAAGTCAAATGTACTCAACTTTGACTAAATATATATATAAAATATTAATATATATAGTACATAATTAGTATCATGCCCGTGTGTTGCAATTTATCTGGAGAGACAAAATATTGCTAATATTTTCTATAAACCTAATCAAACTTAAGAAAGTTTGACCGACACGAATCATAACTATGCTAAAAAAAGGACAGAGGAAGTACAAGCTATCATAGAGGTCTTAACTGATAATTCAAGGCCATGTTTGGATCCATTACATAGTAGTTAGCTAGCTGATAAGTCGGCTGAAGCTGTTTTATTGTGAGAGAAAAATACTATAGATTTTAGCTGATAAGCCGGCTGATAAGTTCAAGCGAACAGGCCCAGTACGTAGCTAATATTCGCTGGCTAACAATTGACTAGCTACCTATTAGCCGGGAGGGTGTTTGGATACACAGTTAATTGATGAGATAGTTGTTATTTCTTCACTTATTAGCTGCTACTATCCAATTTGGTCCAACTAGTGAATAATTGTTATCTAGAGGTCCAGCTAACAATTAGCTAGGCTATTATCTATACATGTTTGGATCCAGAAGAGATAATTATGATAACTACTTACAGTGATCAAACAGGGCCAAGTAGGAGTACATGGTCTCTTTGGTTGGTGACAAAAACTTACCACACATAACCTTCGGCAAACTGTGGCTGCAAGAGAAAGTTTGACGAGTAAAATTGAAGCCACACTTGTGGCAAAGTTTGGCAAGAAAATAGGTCTATGACGTGTGGGACAGGATAGTAAGAAAGTGCAGCATGCCGTGGTCGTAGGAGCAAACCAAACAGCTGCCAGAAAAACTGTGGCATCACTGACTTGTGGTATGACACGTTTTGGTCAAGAAACCAGACATGCCCTAGACACATAGAATGCTAGGAGGTTTCAGAGTCAACCATCCAGCATCTCTAGTTGGATCGATGGCCTTGTTGGAGGTTGTAGAGACTGCGTTTTGTGAGGCGATGAGAGCAGTATAATTCTCCAACTTCAGAGCATCCAATTCCAATCGCTCGACAGCTGCCCCAGTCGTCGTCATCAGTGCGCTGGTCGGCTGGTGAACTGGGCCATCTCGTGACGATCGGTCCCGGGCCGTAAGCCCACCGGCTCAACAGCAGGCCGCAGATTCCCCCCCCTGTTTCCAGGACTCCCCCGGAGGGTCGCGCGTCGTCCGCAGTCCGCAGAGTTTCTCGCCGGATTCCCCAACCCCCCCAAGCAGCTCCCTCTCCTCTCCGCCTCCACCCATCGAGCACCGAGCACCGAGCGGCGGCGGCGGCATGGAGGCTGGCGGCGAGGAGTTCGCGATCGGCGTGGTGATCTCCGCGAAGACCACCCTGGGGGAGGAGTTCGAGGGCCAGATCGTCGCCTTCGATCGCCCCTCCAACCTCCTCGTTATCCATATCCTTCCCAAATCGCTCATGCTCCTCACCCGCATCTCCATGTCCTTTACCTATCGGTCTCGCTGTTCGTTTGCCCGTGTTGTTGTTTTGTTTCCTTGACGGTGTAGATCACAGGAGGGCGTGGGGAGGGCCGAGAGGGGGGAGCGGCGGAACGTGAGGGTGCTCAAGGCGAACTACATCCGGGAGTTCTCTGTGGTCAGCAAGGGTGACGACCCTCTCGATCCTGCCGGCTGCATGTTGGACCTCAACGCCATTTATGCCCGGGAGGATGCTGCACTCAGGTGCGTTAATCACTGTGATTTAGACGTAATATATGCCGATTTGGGCTGCTCCTGTGTAGGGTGCTGTAATGAGTGGATCACACATCTTGGGGAAACAAGTACTAATTGACATTTATTTTGTTTCGATACTAGCTTGCTAGTGTAAATGTGAACGCATGCCCGAGCAAAAGGAAAAGGATTCAATCTAGAATCACCTTTCCATCTGTGGCCTAAATTGATTATTGCTGAAGTTGTGCGACTCAGTTAGACCTAACTCTTTTATAGCTGGTAAAAGCGATATTATTTCCATGTTGAAACATCAACAACAGTGTTAATGCAGATTTCTAGCAAGTGAAGGGGGAGCCAATGTGTGCCCATGTGTGCCTGGAGATAAGAGAGCTAGAAGGAAGTCTATAAGCTATAGTGATATAGTTCAGGTTGTTTGTGTGGGCCTGCAGTGCAGACCCTGGCCTTTTAACATTAGATCAAATGGCATCACCAAAGATATGCCAACATATTGGAAATAAGGAAACATCCTCTATTGGGATAGATATATAGTAGTAAAGGTTTGAATTTAGTAACCAAGAAAAAGAGTATATCTTGTGAAAGATTTATACTTGTGGGCTTTGGAGCTCTCCTATCATGATTTGGTCAGAGATTTTTGGTCCATGGAAAAGAATTTGGAAGTCTTGTGCTCCACATAAATGTTGTTTCTTCATGTGGTTGGTTGCACCTGCACACAATATGTGCTGGATCGCCAATAGGCTTGCGCGGCGAGGTCTTCCACACCCAGAACATTGCCCACTCTGTGACCAACATGAGGAAACGTTAAACCAGTTGCTCACCTGTCGACGAAATACGTCCGGCGGTCTACCGAGGGGTATGCCCACAGTAGTAGATGAATCGGTGGAGGTGCGCGTGAGGGAACTGGATGGTGACACAGAACGCAAGAGACAACGATTAGACAGGTTCAGGCCGTCAGTTTGACGTAATACCCTACTTCCTATGTCTTTGTGGATTGTATTATGAGAGATGAGATGAGATGATCATACGCTAAGCCCAGGATCTGTATGTCGATGTCGACTAGGGGACCCCTGCCCCTCCTTATATGCTCTGGAGGGGTAGGGTTACAAGGAAAGTATCCTATTTGGTATTATACAATATCTAATAAATCACATATTCTTGTAGCCTTGCGGTGCACGCCGACCAGTGCCATGCGCCGCACGCCTTGATCTTGTGGGCTGGGCCACCTCTGATGGTGCGGCCCATGTCTTGTCCTGTGGGTACCGGGGGTCATACCCCCACATCACCTCTTCCCTTTTCGCAAGAACTTTCTGGTTCAACCTGCTGCAAATTGTTGGCCTACAAGCTCCGTCCCTGCAACCAGACGAGTGTTTTTTTGAAGATTGGTGGGCATAGGCTGAAACAAAGGGTGGATATTCTAAAAAGAAAGGGCTAAACTCTGTCGTCATACTTGGAGCATGGTCGGTTTGGAAACATCTTAATAGTTGTGCGTTTGATGCCTCTTCCCCTGACCTGGCTAGAGCACTGTTGATCGCTAGGGAGAAGTTGCATGACTGGGATCTGCCAGGGCTAAAGGCATCTCTTGCCTCCTCGCCCTGCTGCCGGACATTGTTTAGTGGTGGTGTGCTGTTTCCCAGGTCGGGTCGTATTTTTATATCTGTCAAGGCAATTCCTGTATTTAAGACTCTAGTGTGTGTGGGTCTGGGTTTGTAAGGGCTCTTGCCCCTTATCTTTTTCTTCTTAATATAAATGATACAGCTGTTTCGAGAAAAAAAAATGATCAGAGTTGTGTTGCCTTTGGTGGCATTTAAAGTTCTGGAGATAAAAAAAAACTGGACAACTGAAGGCTATGGTGCAGAGTTTCATCCACAAGAAGTGCCAAGGTCTAAAGATCGGGCAATGGTCATTCCAGATTTGTGTAAAGAACCAGAGGACATGAATGATGCCTATTTCTAGATAATGGTCATGCTGTAAGGTCTAGTATGTGTGACTGATGTTGCTCTTTCGATTGGAAGCTGGGATTCTCAGTAGTCTTGTTTTTTGATAGTTTCTCTGGAAGTCTTTTGGGGATGGTAATAGCTAAAGCTCTTACTGTCGTAGTGGTAGTTCTAGCTTTTATGCTACTAGTTTTGTATATCATGGATATTTGGATTCACTCGTACTTTGTAATTTTATTACCTTGAGCGATACACCGTTATGGAAAAAACCCTGGTCAACTGTGTCACTAGCATAACATGTTGAATAGAAAATTTTGGAATTTAGTAGAGCAGTGAAGATGACTTTTCTTTTCTTTTTTCATGTTTGTATCAATTGATTCTGCATAATTTGTTGTCTTGTTCTGATTATTGGTTGTGTCTTGAAAGTATGGAATGGAACATGTAACCAGTGGCGGACCCAGGATTTGAACCCAAGTATCTGGCTGGGTCCGCCCATGCATGTAACTAGCGTGCGTAAAAGATACTAAGCTGGCATTTTTTTTCGAGGAATTGAGGTCTCTTTTGCCATGCTGGTATCAGTGGTGTTCACCTTGAGGTTTATAGTTCTTATCTGTTGTCCTAGTTTTACTGTCATGCATATGCCCATACCAGTGGCAGTGAACTATAATGCTTTAAACATTAGCATGCTCTTAAAGTACAATTGAGATGAGGTAAGTTATGAAGTTAGGCAAAAAGTACTTTAGTGAAGTGATTTTTAGTTTTGAGTTTCTTCTGTCACTTTTTTCTTTGGCTATCATCATGATGGATGATGTTTGTCTTGACTCTTGAACCCAAAATGAGGCTAGTAGCTTTTCGAAGTCTTTTGTGATCCAACTGAAGCTACCAATCATAGGGGTACTGTAATTTGTCTGGTCATTGCTTTTAGTTTTAGTAGAAGTTTCTTAGAGTTAATGTTTTTGACTATTCATTAGTGTGAACAGTGGATCTTGGTCAAAACATCCCCATGCTTCTTCTGGGCTTCAAATGGCCATCCTACTTATTAGTCATTACAGTCTTTTGTCCCCCTTATGCTCTGTTACTATGTAGATGTGCTTATTAGGCAATAGGAGATTGTATATTGCATATATTAGGCAATAGGAGATTGTATATTGCATATTTAGGCAGTCCAGTCAATTAGGATCAGAGATTTACTCCTGTCCTTGTATTTGTAAACTGCCATATATAGCAGCAGCAGCTGCCCTATAATAGAGGCGCCCCTCTCCCATTGAGAGTGTGGCTTATTGCCCCAACATCATCTTCTACAGTGCTGTATTAGCTTATTACCATTCTATCAACATGAGAATTATCTTTCATGCCATTATTGTCTACTCTACCAATTCACTTGTCACACCACATCTAATGATATGTAGGCAAGCAGAGATTGAGGCCGAGAGAATTGGTGTTGGTGTCACCCCAGAAGCTCAAAGTATATTCGATGCGCTGTCCAAGACGTAAGTTAACTTCACTTGTGTGCTTTTGATAATGTTCTACACATAATTTCAGGTCAGACATTACAGTTTCTCACTGCAACTATGTTTTTTTGTTTCTCTGCATGCACAATTTGATGTTTTCCCAAGTTTACATTGGAACACATACTCCCCAAGTGCAATCTAAAAGTTACTCTGTTCACTGGAAACTTTACAAACATGAAAATATCTCAGAATGAGTTTTATGCTATGATAACTGGATCAGCAACAAGTTATACCCTCGATAAATATTCGATTATGGCAAGGGATGCTCCTTATGTAAGACCAATGGAAATTGGGAAGTTGTCTGCATGCAAGGGGTGATTGCGGCGCCTTCTACTTTCTCATAGCTATTATTTTCTCTCGATGTGGCTCTCTAGTTTATTGCAGCAAATTGATTTCTCCCAATGTGCCTTGCTCTGATTTGTCCATGACAATTTGGTTTCTTTCATACAATTTTCTAAAGTATTATAACATATATCTCTGTTAGAGCTTCTATATAGCACTATGACAGTAAGGGCATATGCGCTTTCAGATAACAAATTATGTTGTTCCATTCCATCAGGCTTCCGGTTCAGTGGGACAAGACTGACATTGTTGTAATGAAGGAGGTTCGTGTACGCAGTCCGTACCTGCCTGAAAATGTAAGTGGAGGAACAGCGGCAGCAAATGAACGCGTTAAGAAAGTGGTAAATACTTAACGCTTGACATCAATGTTCATAATTTTACATAGTTGGACCAGTGAAAGGACTAACAACATTTTTTTGGTCACCCTTCTGTTTTTGGTTGTGTTTGCCTCTTGCAGATTGACTTTGAGAGGAAAAGATTACATTCACGTGTACCTGGCCAATTCTCGTAACTTAAAAGGCTTGACTAATTTTTACATTAGCCTCCGTGTTGTATTTCTAATACCGCAGCCAGTTTTCTTATTCTGCGATGATGGGGTTTTCTATAAAATGTTTCAGAAAAAATCTTTCATAATAATCATATCAACTAGCTAGTTCTTTACTGTTTGATAGTGGCATGTGTTACTTGAATGGATTATAACACCTCGTATTGTACAATTGTTAGTTGTATCGCTGGTACAGTAGTTGGGAAGGATTGAATTGAAGTAGCACATGCACATCGAAAGAACTCATACTTCGAAAGTATTGCAGCTTATTTGCAGCACCAGCAGCTGTTATTTTTCTCTGCTGGCACTGTATAACTGCTGTTTTTGGCTGCAAAAAAGTTCAAGCGAACAGGCCTGAAAATCCATCCACCATTCTTTATTGTTTCATTTAGTAGGCTTCTAATTCAACCCTGCTTTGTCGTTGTAACAATTTTTGGCAGGAGAAAATCAATTGGCGCCCTGTTACAGGCTTTATTTGGAGACTGCTAGTTCAATCGTTTTGTCGTAGTAACACTGTTTGGATTCTGGCGACAACTCGCCTCGCCAGTTGTGGCACGTCACAGTTTAAAACGCTGTTGTTTGGTTCGTGCTTAGGTGAAGGCAGCCACGAAAGCACCAGACTCATTTGCCGCCGCAGAGCGTGGCTTCGCTGAAAAGCCGGGGGTGAAAGTACTGTTTACGGATTTATCGTGAGAGAAAAACATTGTTCGTTCGCTGAAATAGTACGGCTCATAAGACCAGACAAACGAACAGGGCCACATAACCGAGCATCCCCATAAGCTTCAGCAGATTGAGTAAACATGTCCCCTTTAATATACAGGACCCACATGTCAGTGGGGAGAAATCCCTCTTCCTCCTCTCTCTTCTCCCGTTTTCTTCCTATGCTGTCTGATGCTGAGGGCCATGGTGGTGTGCCCGCGAGGCGCGGTGGGGCGCGGCCTGCGAGGAGCGGCGAACGACGAGGCGCACGGCCTATGACGAGCGGTGGCTGGTGAGGCGAGGCATTTTGGTTCATAGAAAATATGAGATCTGGTCTAAAAAATTCTTTAAACCGAGCATTTTTTTTGTTTTCTTTTGTTTAGTTTCGAGTCTAATTGAGTGTTTTGAGCAAATGTTAAAATAGCAAAAAATTTGCATGTGTTAAAACATGGCAACATATCAGGTGCAAACCAACTAACCTGTATAAACTTGGAAACTACCAATCAAGACCACTAGATGCTAATCCAATTGATGGGGTGAGGGAGCTTAAGCGCAAAAAAAAAAGCCGGCGGGTGGGGGGCTTCAGCGTAAAAAAATACCACCTCTCACCCCATCTATTGGATCAGCATTCAGTGGTCCTGATCGGTAGTTTCCAAGTTTGCACATGTTGGTTGATTTACACTTGATACGTTGCCTTAAAACATATCAACATTATCGCTATTTTTTTATGTTGAACAGTATCGCTATTTTAGATAATAATAATAATTGATAAGGAAACAATAGCAGCACGCTAGCCACCAAGGTTGTGGCGCCGCCGAAGACTTGTGGCGAAGAAAAACGCCACCACACCTGTGGAGCAAACAAGCATGGAAACGAACTAAGAAAAAGTGTGGCTGCCACAACACATCAACCAAACAATAGATAAAATTTTGTGGCAAACGCATGCATAGCGAGGCAAAGATTGGCTCGAAACCAAACAACCTCGTATTGACATAAAAATATAATTATTCAAATATGAGACATCACACAAACCAAAATATGCTTAAAATACAACTTCATAGTGAAGTACAATTTTTTTTAGTTTCTCGATATCTCGAAACAAACAGTGAACCAATTTTTTTATTCTAGTTCTTTCGATTTTGTTTCCAGTTTTTTCAGTTTAGTTTCTCGGAATCTCAGTTTCGATTAATTGTGCACACCCCTACAGCCGCCACACCTGCCAAGATCCGCGCTGCCGTCTGCCAGCCGCCCACACCTCCACTCATGCACAAGAGCTCTAGCTAGAGATGCCAAGTGTAACACTCTTGGGGTTGCGAGCTTATTTAGCACCGCGATTTAAGTCTAAGTCAAAAATTTCGAAACGAATTCCACGGAATTTTTAATTTAAAATGTACTTGTTGCGATAAGTGAATCCTGTGTGACTCAGCCTTGCACACTCGAATCAACGTCCAAGTTAAATTACGCAGTACGTAGAAATATTTAGAAATGTCCGATAACGATTCTAGCAAATAAATAACGAACGACTTGTTTAATTGATTAAGCACGAAAAACAATTTTATAAACAAAATACGATACGACTGGTATATAGTACTTATGTAAAAATTTGGAGTATGATTTTTGGTTGCATTTAAAATAATAACGAAACTACCGCTAACCATTTAGCCCGCCTACCTCGCCGGTACGACGCACGCAGACTGAGCTCGCTGGCCGGCCGCTGCTGCTTGTTGGCTGCCTTCGCGTTCCGCCACGTTCGAGTCGTCCCGTCTATGCACTGCCCACGTTGATGCCCACGCGCGCTCTGCACCGCGGCGTGTCCGTTTACCTGCGTCCGTGTCCTTTTCTCATGCATCGCGTCTGAATTTTGATGAGCGCCAGTCGAGCAGGTCCTTTTTCTTTTCCCCGCTCTATCTCGCGCGCCTGCTTTTCAATGCCTCTAGTATTGTCCCTTTGCCTGCCTTGCGCGGTCTCATCCTCACCTGCCTCTGCTTGTCCTTGTCACCTCTGCCGTCCACGCTGCACCGTCCTACCTTGTCTCCTCGTCGTGCTCAGAATTGGTGGCGTGCTCGCACAAGTTACTCGCATTTCCTCTGCTCGTCCTTGCCTACCTCGGCCTGTCCCTATCTGTATCGGCTTTATTTCTGCGCTGCCCTGGGTTCGCATTCAAGTGAGGGCCGAATCCTCCCTGCTCTTTTCTGTCCGGTCTGCCTCCGTCTCCGTCTGCTTTTCCGAGCCGCAGCGCCCCGCGCGCCGGCGCCCCACCGTCATCCGCACCGGTGAAGCGCCCCTGCCGTTTCCTTCCCGCGCGCGACTCCAACCGATCCTCCACCGTTGCGCAGCCGCCGCGTGTTCCGCACCGGTATCCCCTCCTCTTCCTTTCTGCGCGCGCTCTCGGCCCCCGCGTTGCCCCGCTCCGCAGCGCAACCGCCATGGCCACCCGCAACTCCAAGCCGCCGATGCCATCCCCGGTTGCCCCACGCCACCGCGCTGTGGCTGCACACCGTCGGGTGCGCATGCGCACGCGAACCCACAGCGTTTGACCGTTCCACCGCAGCTCAACGACGCCACACAGATCTCCGCCCAGCAAGCCGCCCTACATGCAGGCTGCGCCCTGGTCCTGCTGGCTGAGCCGCCTCCTCCTCGGCCGCCGTCAGCGCGCCACCTGGCCGCACTGTGGTCCGCCATTGCTGCTCGCGTTGCTTTTCCCCACCGGCGGGTGCTCTGGTGGCCGGTCACGCCGTCCCGTGCCCCTCTGCTCCTGCTCTGCTTGTGACGAAGGTGAGGAGGTGGGAAAAGTGTAATAGAGGATTTTTTTCAGGGTTCTCGATGCGAAGTCAGGGACTCATAGGAATAGTAGCGCACCGAATAGGCAGAAGACGGTGGACGTTTTTTGCAAAACGGTCGCGGTGCCCTGGGCTTTCCTCGCCGGGCCGGCTCTCGATCGATGTCGTCCGGTCCGCCGCTCCCTGCCAGAAGGGTTTGGTTGGTGCCGACGCACTTCAATGGGGTGCGCCAGGTTGTTTTGGCCATGTGCCCGCCGCTTGCAGCACCCCCCCACGCCGCTGGGCCGACCACAGCGTGCCGCTTAGGCCGCACAGACGTGTTTTTATGGGCTAGAGAGCGGTCACGGGCCACGCCAGGGTGGTCGTCATGATAGCTGGGCCAATTTTGATGGCCCTGGCTCTGTTCGTTTCTAAAGTATTTGTTAATTTAGTTTGAAAATAAACTTATAAAATTCGTAGTAAATCATAAAAAAATCGTAAAAATGCCAAATCAGTTTTGTTGAGTTCCTAAAATCATGATTTACCTGTTAGTATATTTTGTTCACATAGTGTGATAATATTCTTGGAAGCTATATATTTAAATTGAGATACTTAATATTATAAAATATAAACTTGTAGGAATTTCTATGATAAATGAGTAATATGGTTGAATCTGAAATTTGTACAGTAGGCTCCTAGCAACATTAGGTACCCACTGTAATTTTTGGTAGCTCCAGAATAATTAGTTTGCTAAAAAGATAATGATGCCATATTTCAAATAAAGATTAAATGGATAAAATGGGATAAAGAAATAACTCGGGTTTGTATAACTAAAATAATTGTTGGGAAGTACCGCCTTATTCGACAACAGGGATACGTAGACCAGCGTTAGAACGAGCTCGTTAGCTTGTGGGGAGTAATCGAAATTCGAAGCATTTCGGCTGTCGTCGATTATTTACATCTATGCAATTGCATCAATGCATATCATATAGGTACGATGATGGATCGACAGATCAATTGAAGGATGATTGGGAATTCGAAGATGGTGTAATGGTATTCTCTCCAGAAGATGATGCAATGGGCTTTCTATCCAATTGATGGTGGATGATCTGAAGATGCAGATACTAACTTTTTAATATATATCTTACCCAGGCAAGCCCCGGTGCATAACCCCTACTTTTCTGCAGTTTAGATTATATCTGTGCATTAAGTTTTAAGGAGTTGAATGAAACTCACTTGCATATATATCTTTATCCTATGTGTGGATTCCTCCTAGTGGGCTCAGAGAGGATTTCCTTTACGCTGCGACCGTAGTCTTTATTTATAACTCTCACCAAATGCTTTTATAAATGAAAGTTTTATAATTTGTTATCGTAGTTTATATATCAATACTTCTTCATGTCATGAATAGATATTTATTTCCGCTGTAATTCTGATCACATGTTTATATTCTGCTGTTCAATTAAATTGTTCATAACTCTGATAATATGATTACATTTTCCTGTTATA